GGAAGAAAATGGTGACTAAAAGATTTAGAGGGTGTTAATGACGAGGCATGTTGCATATGCCTAGAAATAAATATCACTAAATATTTTGGCCTGCAAATATCAATGATCAGTTTTTGGTGTTTTCCAGTAGAAGGAGGGGAAAGAGCAACAAAAAAAAATTTTTAATAAACAAAGAAAAATGGATTCTGACATTTAGAAGATTATAACTGAATTATAAATGGTTCTTCATGTATTTATAAAAGGATGTCTGATGGCCCTCAATTATAATTCAAAATTTTATTTCACGCAGGTCCCTTGATGAAGTTTGTTAGGAATCCTAGAATTGAGTGTCCGTTGATCATCATCAGATAAAACTTTTTAAAACCCATGTGCTGAGAACTCAAACAATAAATTGGAGGTCTACACTGAACAAATATAAGGTAAGACATACAATTTGAGAAATACTGTGAAATTTTACATTTTTTAAAATAAGAAACTTGCTAAACACAAATTACTTCAATGGTATATGTTACATTGCATGGGACATATTATACGCTTTTAACGAAAATTTTAAAACCCGCCATAGGTAGAATTACTTTTCTAAGAGGTAAATGACTGTTGTATATTCTGATCCTGTATCCTAGCCCAGGCCAGTTGTCATATTATGTGAAATTAAATACTTACCATGATAAAACGATACATTTAGACAAACGTGGTGAGGTAAGAACAGAGTGGGGAAATGACTGGTCTGAATTAGTGAAAATTTTAAATGTGGCCCATTGAAGAAGTCAATTATCAGGAAACCAGTATCTGGAAAAGCGATCTTTCTTTCTTTCCTAGGAAACACTTATAGATACTCATTTAAACACAGTCCCTGGCTTCTAGTTCCCTTCCCCCAAACCTCCAACTGGGACAAACTCATAGAGTCATCAGGAGTCAACAGCAATGCAACTACAAATTCAAAATGGTAGCTGGTGGACAAAAGGGTGAAAGCAGCTGCTCTAGGGGGGGGGTTAAAAAAGACAAAAAGACAAAATAATGCTATCCCATTCACTCCAACCCATCCCCACCAAGAAAAGAAAAGACGACTAACTGAATATAAGGAAAACCAAGAATTAAGCTCTCTTTTTTTTCCCCCAAATTGGGGAATAGAAGGAAAACACAACTGCTATTTCTGTGTAAGAGACTTCAAATAATTAAATGGAGTTAAAAGGGCCTTCTACTTTTGTTTGTTTTACAAATTTAATCTACAAATCCAATCTCTACAGAGAAAGAAAATAACAGAAAGTAAGCAGACAAAAGATTAGCCACACATGTAAGCCTAGTCAAAGTTGGCAAGAATTTTATCTCCGGTAAGGCTTCTACAGTAACAAATGGATTAATTTCCTTGCCCAGCTTTCACTTGTACTGCGGAAGAATGCAAAACAAAGTTGTACTTCTCGCCCAAACAGTAACACCAATCTGTTTCAAGAAAAGGTCTCCGATTTTTAAAAGCGCACTGTTGAGTTCCACCATTACCATCTTCCTAGACCAAACGCCAGAAGCTGTCAACTGCTTGCCCTATTTAAACGTTCATCTGCACCTACTTCTCCCAGCACCAAGACAGGCAGTTGCAAGAGAGGGGGAGGGCGGGCGGTGGATCGCGCTTGGGGCCGCAGAGCAGCGTTACCGCAGCTACCTAGTAATCCTGAAGTACCCGCAAGGAAGCACCTGGCCAAACCCTAAGCGAAAACGTGAAACTGCCCCCACGGTGGGAGGACGGCGTAATGGCACGTGTTCCCGGGGCCAGATCTGCCCGCCACGGCGGAGCGAGCTTACACTAGCTGGACGGACGCTGGGTGGGTGGCAGCTGGGGGACGCGCCTGCGATCCCCCAGGGCCCCAGACGCAGGGAGGGGCGGCAGGTGCGGCGGGCGGGGCCTCACCTGCACGCCGGTGTAGTTCTCGAAGAAGAAGAGCACCATGCTCTGATAGATGCAGTAGAGCCGGTCGTCCACCGCCTGGTAGAAGCGCGAGGGCAGGAAGGCGGAGAGCAGCCGCCAGGCCCCCCAGGCCAGCACGTAGGTGGGAGCCGTGCCCAGGAGCACGGCGGCCGGCAGCACGCAGCACATCGAGTACATGTGGAGCACCAGGGACAGCAACATCTTCGCGGCTCCGCACGCGGAAGGCTCCGCCGGCTCTTCCCCGCCCCGCAGCCGCCGGCCGCCCGGCGGCCCTCAGTCGGCGGCCAATCACCGGGCTGGGCCGGGCCCCGCCGCCGCCCCCTCCCCTCGCCGGGCCGCCGGCCGCCCCTGAGACGCCCAGCCCGCGCCGGATCCGGCCTCCGCCCCCAGCCGCATGGGCCGCGCCGCCGCTGGACGGTGGGCGGGCTGGCGAATGAGGGGCCCGGAGCGCTGCTCCCGGCCGCAGGGCAAGGGGAAGCCGCGGCCCTCGGGGGCTCGAGAGCTCAGGATCACTCACACCCCATGACCCTCGCCCGTCACCCTATGCCCCTGCCGGGGGCGGGGCTCCGCGCCAACAACACGACTCCTGATTGGCCTTCCGTTACCATAGTCCCCCCCTCCGCGGGCGGGGCTCAGCGGCAAGAACTCGTCTCCCGATTGGTAGAGTGCTGCTGACAGTCGACACGCAACTGCCTCCCCCCGCGTGGACTGCCCGCTCTGGCTACTGCGCATGCTCCAAAGCTTGCCCTCCCCGCGCCCCCTCCCCAAAGGGAAACGGCGACTTCCGGGCGGAGCTGGTTGAAGGTGGGTGTTGGCCGAGGAGGGGTGCGGGCGGCCTTGTGCCCCTTGGTCCGGCTTTGGGCGCAGATTGGCTTGAGGGAACGCCCCACCTCCTGCTTGCACACCTGAGGGCCCCTGGACCCCGGGATGCACCCTTAAGCCGAGATGTCCCCTTCCGAGGGGCGCACCGGTTACCCGCGGTACCTCGTAGGTGCTGCAGACCTTGGCTTCGGGCGGCTAAGAGGACTCCTGCTGGCAACGGAGACTTGTCAGGCCTGCTGTGGGAAGGCCCGCAGTGACAGCAGTGCGATAAGCGCTGTCAAGGCGTCAGCCCTGGGTTATCGGGCCAGGCTCACCTTCCTCCCCAGGTGGCTCTCACCCCCTCCGCCTTCCTGGCTTCCTCCTCTTCTCCCAGCCGGGTGCACAGGACCCCCTTCACTCGCCCACCTGCCTGTTTCTGAGTCAGGCCCCTGCCTTCCCATCGCTACCAGTTTATGCACAGCTGGACAGCCTTTTTACAAGGTTCTTGACACACCGGTTTATTTTATCAGGCCTTATCAAATTCACTCTTGCTTCACTTCCCCAGGCCTGGCTCTTTAACTTCTTCCTGATAGCTTATGATGAGCCTCAGTTTTTGAGTAGTTCTTGAAGGTACTTGAGTGCACATGTGGGATAAAGTACTAACATAATTCTATGACCTTCACAAAAATCTGGGAAATCAGGGCAGCCGTTTTATTGATGTAGAAACAGACTCTGAGGCCTTCTGAATCCTTCTACTGCCCTTTGGCTACAGTGAGTGTGGTTTACTGTGTAATCCTTTCCAGGGATAGTTGCACTTCAGAAGAATGCCGAATGCTTTAAGTGAAAAAAAAAATTTTTTTTTTTTTTTTTTTTTTCTGAATGCAAGCCTGTGGTGTAGCTTTATGCAGGAAGGCATTTTAGCGGAAAATTCTAATCAGGGCCAGGACGGTGGCTACTTGATTTGACTGTCTCTACATGATTGACATCATGTAACGTGATTGGTAAATGGTGACCTTGAGGGACAAGTCCAGGTGAATAGAGATTGCTCAAGGAACAATTATTTGGACAGGTATATTGCCAACAGGAAGCATTAAACACTCAAAAGATTTTCAACGCGGTTTCCCCACTTTCTATGGAAAGTAATGCCCTGTGAGAACTAGACTCATTCCGGAGGGAAAAAGTCATGGGTATGGATACTGTGCACAGCCAATGCTAATCACGCTTCCTTTAACTGAGACCAGACATCCCTACAATTAGGAAAATGTATGAAGAGATAAAGCTGGTTCAGTGTTAATGTTACAATCTGTACACATGCAGTCAGTAAATGTTTTTTTATGTAAGTATGTTACTTCCTGTGAATTACCCCCATATTACTGTTAGTCACCTGGTTGTAGAGTTTTGTGCCAGGTTCTGACATGGGGACACTGAGAACGTGAGCCTCTCTCATCCCCTGTTTATATCCAAACCCAGCCCGACACACTCACTTATCCCCTGTGCCCTTCAGCCTCCTCTCTCCCTGCTGGTCACAGATTTGCCCTCCTTTCTGCCTTCCCCTCTCTCAAGCTGTACTCAGCGCACACCCTCTGCCTCTACTTCCTTACGGTGTACATTTTTTAACTCCTTGCAGTCTGACTTCCTTTTCCACCACCCTACTGAAACGGTTCCTTGTAAAGAGCGCGTCTAGGGCTTCCCCGGTGGCGCAGTGGTTGAGACTCTGCCTGCTCTTGCAGACTCTTGCAGAGGACACGGGTTCGAGCCCTGGTCTGGGAGGATCCCACATGCCGCGGAGCAACTAGGCCCGTGAGCCACAACTACTGAGCCTGCGCGTCTGGAGCATGTGCTCCGCAACAAGAGAGGCCGCGATAGTGAGAGGCCTGTGCACCGCGATGAAGAGTGGCCCCCACTTGCCACAACTCGAGAAAGCCCTCACACCAGAAACGAAGACCAAACACAGCAAAAATAAATAAATAAATTAATAAACTCCTACCCGCAACATCTTCTTAAAAAAAAAAAAAAAGCGCGTCTAACCCAGCCTGCATACAGTGGCTGTGGGATATAACAGTGAAAAGACTGATTGCATTTAGCAGGGACTTAGGTGTGGAGTGAGCTTTACGTAAAGGGGGATATTCAGGATACTCTGGGGACGTATACCAACGAGATCTTATTTAGTCGGGGCACATAGAAGGCTTCTCAGGTAGAGAGAGATTTGAGATGAAGTTTGAGGGTGGAGTTAGGTGAGAGCTAGAGAAGGGAAAGAAGGCGAAGAGCCTTCCAAGTGAGAACAGCGAGTCTCAAGGACTGAAGCTAAGAGCCCACAGGTTCTCAAGGCTGAAGAGACCTGTGTGCAGCATGGTAATGAGCCGCTCTTCACTTTTTTTTATTCAGATGCCCCCTAGAAGTATGCTGTGTATTTCCCTCACACATTTGTAAGTTAATAGCTAAAATTGTTTTTATCATAAGTTTAATTAGTTACAAAAGAAATAAGTTCTGATGAGTTATAAGTGAAATTTTAAAATTAATTACAGAATTAAAAATAGTTAAAATAAAATTACAGAAATCTTTTAAGTGGACCCCATGGATTATAAATAGCGTAGTGATTTAATACCAACATTCTCCATGTAAAACAGATTTTTACCAATTAGAATTTTACATTGATCCTTTGTCTCCTTGAAAACATTTTCATTCCACTTCTGCCACGTAATTTTATCTTAACGGAATATATTTTATGCTTCCAAGTCTTTTATTGATCAGACTATGTCATCAGGGTCCTAAGAGTTAAAATTTCTTCTGGGTTGAGCTATGACTCTTGTTAGCAATATACAATTTAATCAATGTATATCACAAAATCTGATAATTATTGTAAATAAAGGTAAAGTTTGATTGGTGTCCTAAAGTTATTACACCTTTCCCACCTCACTGCAGAACAGTATGGTAAGGTTGGGGGCTAGGGAGCAAGTGGGCAGGACGGTTGTGAAATGCAAGGCGGTCTGTACTCCATGAATCTTCTCAGGCATATCAAACGGACAGATACTTTGGAATCAAGAACTCTACTTAAATGAACAGTCAGTAGCAGAGTGGTTACATGAATACACAAAGATGACACATGAAATGTTATGCAGCAGTTAGAAAAAGACCAAGTAGACCCAAATGTACCTAAATGTACCCAAATGATCTGCACGTTAGGTGAAAAAAGCAAGTTGCTGGATAATACATGCACAACTACCTCATTTCTGTAAAAAATAAAACTATTTCTAGATGCAAATGTCTAAAAACTGATGACGGCAGTCTTCTCAGGGGAGGGGAAGTAAGATTAGATGAAGTTCAGCTGGACTTCCTGTATTGTTTCAAGTTTTTAGAAAGAAATATTGATTCAACAAATATGTATCCAGTTTTCCATATCCCACTTCATGCTGGGTGTCAGAGGTAAGAGAACAGATAAAGGCCCTGAGGTCATGACCCTTGCGGTCTGGGGTGGGGCAGCGGGATTAATTTATTTCAGAGGCAAATAAAAATAAAGGAGAAAAATAAGAGATGACTTTTGCAGGAGATAACTAGAAGGTGGGATCCACGGGAGTCTTGACCTTGGTGATAAGGAGGGGCAGGGAGGGTGAAGAATGCCTCCCCAGTTGCAGGCTTGAGTAACCCGGTGGCATTTGCTTTCATCTACGAGGAGTGGAAAAAGGTTCTGCGGAGCATAGAGCTTCTGATCAGCCTGTGTGGCAGAGAGCACTTCAAGGGAAAGAACACAAGTTTACAAATACAAAATTGGATTTGAACATGGATATTTAATTAGAATGAGAAAAATAATTTTTAAGTATATAAATTTTTACAAGCTGACATATCACAAAAATAAAATATTCAGAAAAATAACTTTTATTATGTAACTGTATCATAGATCAGTGATAGAGTATACCTTTCTTTTGACTGTGAAAACCATTTTGCATTTTCTCTACAGAAAAGTAATTGCCTTTCTAGCATGATAAATGTAAACTTGGTTTTTATCATTCATTGTCAGGATGCATGATATTCAACCTCACACTATGACTTTAGTACATTTTCAGTAAAACTAGGTTTATTTCGTGAAGAGGGGGAGGTGCGAAGGAGAGGGAACTTGACAAACGCATTGTAAAATTCATGTAGGGTAACAACTCAAAAATTTTTGAAGAGGAGGGCTACTACTGAGCATGGCAGTCGGAGTGACGGCCATCCGAAGACATCCGTGTAATTTTTGCAACCCGTGAATACGTTAATTTGCTTGGCAAAGGAGAATTTAGGGCACAGGTGGATTTAGGATTGCCAATGCATGACCTTACAGAGCGAATCCCGGGTTATCCAGGTGGGCCCAATGTAGTCACGAGGGGTCTTAAAAGTGGGAGGGGGCAGTTAAGGAGCTCAGAGCGACGT